TACGCTTGGAGGTTGGCGCCCCTATCCCACAAAAACCTAACTCACTGAAAAACGCCAACAGAAAAAAATAATTCTCATCATATAAACTCTGCTCTGGAAGTTAGGTTTCCATTTAGAAGAATTATGAGGTCTCGTGATGAAAGCCAAGTTCCTTCGAAAGTCATGAGTTAGATATCTCTTCTGACAAGCAGCCGGGAGGTGACATTCGCCCTCATACCAATAAAAACACACGGAACCCAAATGGTTAAAATCAAATCCCTTCTACATCTTCTAATAACTCTTCCTTCCTCATGACCAACCCTTTTTCAATCGTTTATCACCTAGCGCAGCTCAAGCAAACAGTTCGAGCTCAAGAAGCATTACTCCTGGTCTCTCGAAACCCCGCACTAAATCACATATTGTAGCTTTTAATCTTCAAACCTTGTGCCAAACAGGGCAACAGACTTCATTAGCAGGAAGTCTGGAATCCCATGCAATCAATGTATGTTGCGCCTCCCAAACGCGCATACAAGACCCGAGTAAAATCATAAATTACATTTCATCTTGTGCAGAAACAAAACGGTTTATGATTCGTGTTTCAGGTAGCCATTATGCTTCTTCCCGTGGCCTCGCTATTGTAGGTATAATAATGATTCATAGGGTTCAGTAGATATTCGCCTGTGCGCTGTCCGACTAAACGGGACATTAAGGACTCGTAAGGAAAGGGATACTTGCCGTTGTCTCTTCGTCGTATCTGCCGATGCCCCCACTGACTGCAGTTCTGATGACATGAAAGATAAGTCTTATAGAAACCTCTCTAAACTTCTCCAAAAGTTAGGCTTTTTGATGTAGTAATAATGGCTGGTGACTTCAGTGCTCAAGTAGTTAGACTAAGTGAAAAAGAAAGACACTTGGGTGGATCTTATGGTATCGAGGCTGATCTAACAGATGATAGCAACCATCTGCTGTAGCTATGTTCAGATAACCGACTATTCCTAGCAAACACTAACTTCAAGCATAAGGTGAAACACCTTTTGACCTGGCTATCCCCGAAGCCGACCCAACGCTGGACCCAACTGGATCACATTGCTATAAGCCATCAGAGGAGAGGCTCGGTTGAAGACTGCCGCTCATTCTGGAGCGCTTATTTAGACTCAGATCATGCTCTACTGTGAGCACGTATTTGTTTGCGATTTACTGGACGTAGGAAAGACAACGTGATGAAACCTCTTACGGTTCTACATAATGACAGCAAATCTAAGAAACTTTCTGGTAACAACCAGACAAATAGTAATGCAGCCACTTAAAAGTGATGGTACAGCTGGTCATGATATCTTAAAAGCTGTGGAAACAGCAGTGATATATGCTAGTAAGATGAACCTTAAAGTGAGGGAGAAGCAGTGGATTTCACTAGCGTCCACCGACCTGAAAGACGCTCGGGAAACTCATCCCACCTGGCTCTGATTGCGATAAGGAGTGTGGTCAGCTAGGGTGCAGACTGATAAGAAGCCTGCTCAATGATGGTGAATAGTGGTGGGTAGCGAAAGCAAGAGCGACGGAAAACGCAGCGGTGATGGACGACAGTAGACTACTATTCCGCCGTATCAAGGAAACCGGAATTAGGAATCCAACTGCTACTGAGACTAATTCGGTAGAAGTTTGTCCCATTATTCATTCTCAATCCAGGAGATTGTATCGATGGGCAGAACACTTCAGGGTTCAGTTCAACTGGCCTTCAGCCACACTTCGGTTGCCCACGATCTCCAGTCATCCTGAATGGCAAATTAAAGTAAGTCGTCCGACTCTTTATGAAGTTGAGAAAGCGATAGGAAATCTGAAGCGAGAGAGAGCAGCAGGTCCTGATAGAGTGATTCCTGAGATATTTAAGGATGGTGGTCCAGTTTTTGTAGCTAGGTTGACTGAGGACTGGACACAATCCCATCCGACTGGTCTCAATCATTGATTGTACCAATCTATAAGAAAGGACAAAAGCCTTCTTGTGACAATCACAGGGGAATCAGTCTAACTAATATAGTATCTAAAATATTGGCCTCAATAATACTTCGACGCTTAACGAAAGATCGTGAAGAGCAGACTAGAGAAAACCAGTCTGGTTTCCGAACTGGACGTGGTTGTATAGACCACATTTTCAGACTACAACAGGTCCTGGAACACAGACACATTTGGGCGTCCTACAATAGTTGTTTTCCTGAAACTTAAGGCGGCATTTGACTCAGTGGATCGTGAGGTTCTCTGGCAGTGTCTATCATTGAAAGGTGTACCATAGAGGTACATTAACCTTATACAGGCTCTCTACTCGAACACCACTGGTCGAGTGAGAGCTTATGGCGAACTGTCATCTGAATTCTCTACATCAAGTGGTGTCCGTCAGGTATGTTCACTCTCTCCATTCTTGTTTAATTTTATCATAGACATGCTCCTAGATATAACATTATCCTCGTCTGAATTTCCTGGAGTAGACCTTCTACCAGGTGGCTCGCTTATTGACTTAGAATATGCCGATGACATAGTCGTACATGGTGTAGACGCTGACAAAATGCAGAGTCTTCTGACCACCCTGAGAAACAATGCAAGCATGTTCGGGATGCGGTTTTCCTCCTCGAAATGCAAAATGTTGCTTCAAGATTGTGTTGCATTGGCACTTAAACTAGTGATAGGGAGTGAAGTAGTCGAACGTGTAGACCGCTTCACTTATCTTGGGAGTCTGATCAGTGCTGTTGGCCTGGTGACTGACGAAATCTCAGCTCGGATACAGGAAGCTCGGTTTGTTTTTTCCAACCTGCGTCACTTATGGCGTAGGCGTGATATCAGTTTGCTGACTAAAGGACGTGTGTACTGCGCAGCAGTTTGCTCTGTCCTACTATACAGATGCGAGACTTGCCTGTTAAGGGTAGAGGGCTTTCGTAGGTTACTAGTCTTCTATCATATGTAGCTCTGAAGCATCGCTCGTATATCGTGGGACAGCCGAGTAAGCAATGCTGTCGTTAAGAAACGGGTGCTATGTAATGATAGCAGGTCAATAGATTAAGTATTTAAACTTGATAAGTTGAGGTGGTTTGGACATGTGTTACGTTTGCCTAACCATTGACTGCTTCGTCGAGCTTTGCTTTGCGATTTAGGGATAGGTTGGAAGAAAGTTCGGAGCGGCCAGACCAAAACATGGCACAAATCCATGAAGTCACTGACAAGTGGACTGAATCATGTTGGTAGATGTAGGCTACGTGGTTGGGGTCCGCGAGACGAAAGTCATCAATGGTTAGAGACCTTGAACGACATGGCTCAGAGTCGTTTGCATTGGCGCATGTGCATCCACCCTTTGTGTGCTTTTTAATTCTTACCTTCTGAATTCGTCATCACCTTTATCTTTTTCTTTTTAAGTTATTTCACTAGATTTTACTTCTTCGAACCCTAGTCTATCCGATTACTACTAATGCTTCTACTACCTCTGCTACTATGGGATTTGAATTGACAATTATATCTTTAAAAAGTATGTTCGTTAACTGATAAATTCTTCAGGTATACCTTCTACCATCACTTATCCATTGATAAATTTCTCTAAAATTTTCTTGAATAAAAATCGTAGTTATCAGTAATAATAATACTAATAATAACCAAGTCAAATTATGAAATAACTAGTTGACTAATATGCTCAAAATTCATTTATTTTATTCAAGAATCTATTGTAAAAAACAAAAAAAAGGTAATGATTTAAACAATCATTAATATAACTCAGAATCGCTCACAACAACCCAAATTCATTCTCTCCCCATCTCAATTGAAATCATGATTTCCTCTACTCACTCACCCACACATACCTTCGCATTCTGCTTTCATGAATGAATAGCATTATCAATGCTTAGTCGTGATCACTATCAACGCTTTCTCACAAATACACAAAATCGTCTTGTACGTAATCAAGTCCCATCCTGTCTTTGACTTCAATGTATGTGTTAATATGAGATCACAAAAATACTGTGATGCGAGCTACTTATAAGTAGTATATGACGTGCGTGTCAACGTAATATCTGGCAGCAGAAGATGGGCGAAGATCAAGAAAGGAAGAGTTAGAAAACAATGGAATTTGTATGAAACGCATGAATAGTGATAATGGATTGATGTTGTTTGCAACAGGAACAGTCCAGTTCGATATGATAAACTGATATTTTGCAAATGAACGATTTACGATATGGTTTTCCGATTTTACTGAGTAACTCTGTAATTCTCGTCAAATACAATTCGGTTGCCCCACCTGTGTTCTCATTCACTACAATACTATCCAAGGAAAAACATGTAATTTTTTATTATGATCATATTGCATATATAAATAATATAAAATAGAATTTACAATTAAATTATTTTGATTTTTTGAAAGAATATTCTCATCACAGAAATTAACCGGGACATAATATTTTACATCATCATGACAATAAATCATAGTTTCGAAAAAAATTAAGAGAAAGAGAAATCTAAAATGTTTCAAAAGTTAGAGTTTGATCTTTTTTTCTTACAGGAAAATAAATAAATAAACAAGAAATACTCAAAATTATGGGAAAAAAATTGGAAATAAAAATTGACCTTTAGGTCTTCATTACCAAACATGAAAGAGTTCACTTCTTTATCGAGTACAAGTTTACTTACATACGTCGTACTGAATAAGTCACATTGTTCATATGAAAAATAATAGTTTTGTCGTTGTAACAATCAGCAATGAATTGAATCAGATGTGTTTGCAAAGGCAAATTACCATAGTTTAACCGAAAAGTTTTCGAGTGAGTATTACATAGTGTGGTGTGTGCTACTTATACGAACGATATAAGTAGTATAAGAATGGACGTGAAAGAAGTCAGAAGAGGAAAACGGAAAGCAAATGGGGCAGAAGCAAGAAGTAAATGGAGTACCAACAGGAAGGAAATGAGGCAACAGCAGGAATGGAAGAAGGATGGAGTGCTGGAAGTCACGACTCAAAGATGGTGTGCAAATAGAGAGTTCAATGTAATGTTTTCGTTTTTAATTGACTCAGAGTGTAAATTTACATAATACAATCTTCCGAGCCTGCCTCAGTCTTTTCAAGTGTCTTAATAGCATGACTCAACACACCGACAACCCTGTTTCACACAACTATTCTCATCTATAATAAAAAAAAATACAGGCATTCAATTCATCAGAATTAACAATAAAAACACAATTCATCTAGTTCACTGAATAATATCACTACTATTCCTGATAAAACGTTTGTTTGCAAAATCGAATTCTACGAAGTTTATAAATATCAATCAAGAGGCAACATTGTACACAAACTCTGAAAGTGAATTGTCAAGAGTGTGATAGGTTTTCATGTCAGGTAAGTAAGTATATACTGTATTTAGTTTTAATATGTATATATATATATATATATTCAGTTATAAGATGTATATATATACAATTAGGCAATTCATAGGCACGGTACACTCACTATACATACACATATATGTATATGTATAGAAATGGGTGTGGCAATAGATTCAAACAATGCATGAATAAACAATGTTATGCCTTCTATTAGCTAGCTGATCAGTATATATATATATATATATATATATATATATATATATATATATCGATTGAGCTCATTTGAGTGAGCAGTGTTTTACTGTTTGTTTGTACTAATTTCCCACAATGAAAAGAATAAAACCACAAGAAGTAGTCAATCAGTTAATTTGTCTACCATTTTGTTAAAGATTATCAATAAACACAACAGTATCATTCCAGACGGTGCCATCCTCATCATCATCAGCATCAACCAACACCAGAACTAGACAACATGATTGAAGGAAAATATCAAACTAACTAACTAATCAATGGAAAAAAGAAAAGAGAGACACTTCGTCGGTATCCAGATTCTATTCATCAACTAGAACGTCGTAGATTCTGATGATTAGTCTCTATTTGAAAACTAATTGGTAATTATTATGTATATGAATATATCTTTTATACATACATAAACAATTAAAACTCTGAATTTGTTCAGCATTAATTATTTATATGAAATGAAAAGTTTAAAAGTAAGAAAGGATAAGAGAAAGGAGACAAGTGGAAAAAAGAAACACAACAAATTATTTGCCTTTTTTTCATAGATTAGTAGAGAAAGATGATAATAAGGGTTGTTATTTTTTTATAAAAGAGTTTATGATTCAATTCATCAATTGCTTATCAAAAGTTGACGGTGTGCGATTGTAACAAAATTTCCATTTAGTACAGTTAATTGCGTCGTTGGAGAAAAGACAAAAAATGTGTTGGAATTGTTGGTGACAATTCTATATAGATGGTTTGTAGTGTAATACGTATTTTTGAGAGAGGGTTTAAGTGTTCTCTGAACATAAGGGACTAACATAAACTGGGACAAATGAAGGAAAAAGGGAGAAAGTTTCGCAAATTTACGTGTCTTCAACATAGTGGTCATAGGTGGAACCACATTCACACACAAACGCATACACAAAGCTACATAGTTTTCCTGAATCACACTATACGGAACCAAATCGATCACATCTGCATCGATAAAAGTTTCAGAAGGATCGTGGAGGACGTGAGAACGAAGAGAGTAACTGACATAGCTTCAGACCATCACTTGGTGGTGACTGAAGTGAAACTGAAACTCAAGAAGCGCTGGATAACTTGGCGGAACATATCACAAAACTTTCATATGGCCTTTCTTCATGATACTGGAAAATTAAGTCTCATACCTGTTACACAAGTGCGTGGCTATATGGACTCAGTTAGCTAAGTGCATATCACGGGTACTTATGTACGAAGTTCCACGTTGTAACTGACTGACTGACTGAAGTGCATATCACGATGGCATTTGATGAAGTGAACGGTTCTTGGTTAAACTCTCGGACTGTACATCAACTCTGGGTTGCAGGTACATCTAGGACCAAATGTGCATCATGGATTCCAATGCTAGCTACATTTCATTTTCGACTTGTTTTACTTCAGAGCTTTAAGTATTGAAGAGTATTGGAATCCATGAAGTGACTAGGCAGTCTATACTTGAAGCGTTTAATGTGAAAAATGTATCATAGTTAATTAACTATATGTCTAGTTTACGAATACCAAATTACCATAAGTGAGGAAATCGAAATCAAGTATTTAAAGAGATTATTGAAACTTATTGATAAATGAGTTATTTGTAGAAGTGTCTATCAGTGTATTACAGTAAGTATTGAAATTTATCGTTTTCTTCTGATTGTATTTTTAACTTATTGAGTGGACGAAATAGTATACGTTTCGGGCTTTACGATGGAAACTGCATATCAGTTGTAGCCTCATGGTCAATCAACAAAATTCTGATTTACACATATTCAATAACTCATCGATTCAAGTACTTGAACTTCTATTACAAGATTGCAGCTTAGTGTCCTGTATCATCAGTGATTAACCGAGTAGTAAGTATTTACTGCTAGTCGTCAAGTATTAACTTCGGTAAAGGTAAAACCAACCACTGCTTGTTGTCTCAACGCTTGATATCTACTGGAATATGTGACTAGGTTAGATAGAAGAAAGGTATGAACAGTCGAACCAAGATGTGGTGTCAGTCCAACTAACTGAGTCCAGTTGAAAGGTGCTGATTACTAACGAGATCACTGTTTAGACACAACATTGCGTCAATAACAATACCGTAGATGGGTTTACTTCGTAGCCTTTCTTTCTAGTTCTGAGTTGTAATATTATTTCATACCTTTCATTTCTCGAATTTATTCTTCTTCAATCACATTCTCCATGCTTCATCATGTTTACAATCATTAATACAACTGGTGCATCGATTTTCTTACTAGAATTCCTTTTAATTTCATCTCACCATCCCGGTGTGATATGATAACTTCAACTGAATACACATATATACACCTACCTGGTTTTCTATTCATTATAAATTATGTCTAACCACATTGTTGTTCAACGTCAAGTATATTAATTTGTACATTTGTACATTTATGTAATAATAGTTTAATGTTTCAAATTACTGACATATGATAGCTGTTACTAAGAAAAAAGGCACCAATTTTAACTAGTTTCGATCTCATGGAACCAGTCAATCATAACATAATCATGAATCAAGGTCGTAAACTAATTCGAGACTAACTCTCTCTCTCTATTTCTTCATACTTAGTGTACAGTCTATAGTTCGTCAGTCGACAATCAACAACAATCCCGAAAGGTAATAATATGAGTAACAAATATATCCCAATGAAACTGCCAAAACCAACCTGGATATTCATCTAGATTGATACTATTCCAATCGAAATTTGTTGCTGCTTGTAAAGATTTCTGTAATACATAAGTTAAATTGAATGAATTATTTAACAATCTATCTGATACTTTCATAGTGTTGTTATCTGATGATCTGCCAAATTGACGGTGATCATATTCATCATTATTCTGAGAATAAATTGAACGATATGAAGATGAGGGAGGTGATGAATAACACGTAGAAGTAAAGGAAGAAGAAGTTGAAGACGAAGAAGAAGAAGCAGGAACACAGGATGATGATGATGATGCTGCGGAGGAGGACGACGACGATGATGAAATGCATTGTTGTTTATGACCATTGTGTTTATTCAACAAAACCGCATTACAATAATCAATATTCTCCTTATTTGTCATACCAATCGAATCACTTGTAGTCATTATTTCTCTTGCCGCTGATGTTGTTGGTGCTGGTGTTGTTGCTGTTGTCGTCATGTTTTTCAATGATGCTTCTATCAGTCTATTCGATAAAAATGAATTGGATGATTCAGATGTAGTTTGAAGATCCATAGTTGAATTTGATGATAATTCTAAAATCAATAAGCATGTCATTAAGTAACATGAGTTCAACAAGGAATAAAGTAGAACTTTCATAGACTTCATTTCTAATCAAAATTTGAGTGAGTAATATGTTGTTGTGTAGTGATGGCTTAGTGAGTGAAGTGTTCGACTTCCAGCGATTCTCCATCTCATTCGATTTAGATAACAAGGGTAATCAATCTTATTAGCCCTCATGTTTAGAGTATGGTCTATGCCTACATAATACCTTATGATATTTCAAAATTAGTTTACTCTAACTTGAAAACATTGACATTCAATATTAAGTTTCTTTCCAATTAGTTTAAATAAATACCAACAATCATAACAATCATTTAACTCTGATTGAAATTCAACCTGGTTTCATTTAGATATGTAAAGTTAGATAGAGTTCAAGGAGCTGTATCTCTTTAGTGAAACAAAGTTGATTATCATGAAACATGACTGTTAACAAACACCGATCATTTTAAGCACGTAATCTCAGTCAAATTACAAAACAAATTCAAACAGCCTAAAAATAAATGAAACGCCTCTAGTTAGAACATCAGTAACTGCATCAATGTTGTTGTCGGTAATAAAATCAGCCCATCTTTACTCCTTCAGTTGAATCGGAAAAGTTGGACATCTTTCCAGAAAAGAAAGGAAAGGATAGAAAGGCGAAATTCTCTTATGCTGCAGCTCGAGTATATCACAAAGATGTTGCTAAAATGTCCAGTCCAGTTACACATGAAACAAAATATTATCTTTTATGAGAAATAAGGCTGTAGTTTACTGATTTAATGAGCAAGTATAATCCGTACAAATTGGTTACTGAAAAGTATGTGATGTAATTATACCCTATTTGAAGATTTTCTAAATAATTTATTGAAATAAGCGTTGTGTTGTCATCTATCATTCGAATACTTCTAGAGATCAGCTCTATTTAAATGATGTGTTTCAACAATGCTCAGTTGGTCGGTTTGTTAACTCGACCACACAGCTTACGACATGCATTTTGACTGCCGATCGTTAATTACAGGTTCTTATTAACTGTGTCATCAATCACAGACTTATTATTTCACTGTTGATAGATAAGTCTACAACTAGGCAATTGAAATTTTCTACACATTTTGCAAACACCTTGCTAGTTAGCATAAATAAAGTGTAAAATCTAAACTTACCAAAACCATCAAACAGTGCATGATACAAATGTCGAAATGATGCACTAAGATCTAGTTCACCTGCTGAAAAACTTGATCTTAACGAATGATCTTCACATTGTTCTTCATTCTCATCGCCATCATCATCATCACCATCATCAACACCTCCTTCTCCTCGTACGACGACTGTTCCTACGCCATATTCATGTTGTAAATTCACTGGATGATCTGAATGAATCATATAAAAATCAACCATTGATGAAGATGACGATGTTGAAGAAAGTAATGGTCCCATTGAATTATTATTATTAGTATCAGTAATACCATCATCTTCATTACTGAAAGTTAACATTTCACGAACACAATTCTTCCTGTGCATTTGATTCTTTTGAAGATCATTATCATAATTATACAGAAAGTCACTATTACTTTTATCACTCACTACTGTGTTACAAGTCGTGCTTGTCATCATCTTAGCTGATGATGATGATGACGATGTGTCAACTGTTTTCATTGAAAAATCTGGAGAAATTCCTGATATATATTGTCTTGTAATTGTTTGTTGAGATATTAACGACCTGACATTATTCTTATCATTGTCTGATGGTACATTTTTGTCATTATCAGATGCATAGTACGTAGAATTAGTCTGTTGTTGATCAGACTGACTGGATATTTTTGCAGATGTACAATTCAATGCATTTTCATAATCATTTAGTCTGTGGAAATAATGTCTACCATCTCTGGCAAGATGTTTGTCAATGGTTGAGTCAAAACTGGTAGTATGAGTGGAAGTAGTCACAGTATTAGAAGGAATATTGCATGTGACTGAAATCTCATCATTATCAGTAGTATGATTACGATTCAGTATGACGTCATCAGAAGTAGTCAATACAACAGAGGTGCATCGATTTGCAACTAGTGATCCTGTGTGGAACAAGTCTGAAGTATTTGAAGCCACTGGAAATCCAGTAAAAGCACGTTGAGTATTACAAGTTATTAAATGATCATCTTGTCTAGTTATTGTATTAATTTGATTAGAAAGCGATGTTGCGTTATTATTATGATTCCTGCTACTGTTATGAATGTCATGTTTGGTGTGCACATTATCAGAGTTATTACAATGTGTAGATAGACTAGTTGTTATATTCGATAATATAGGATTATTCGCTTCATGAGAAATGGGTTTATTTAAATGATATGAAATATTATCAGTAGTGTTATGATTATCATTGGTAAATTGATTGTCTATGGTGTATTCAGTATACACAGAATCTAACAAACGTTTACGATTCGTTCGACGAGTTTTGGAACTAGACAAATTGTTACTACAAGGATGAATATGATTTATTCGAAATTCGGAATTACAATAATTAGTTGTAAATTGAAAGTTGTCAGTGTGATTATCAATGTTTGTGTTTTCAGATGTAGGCAAAGATGTATTGTTTTTGGGCAAGATCTTTTGTAGTTGTGACACACATCGTAAACTTTGTTCTGAACATATAGCCTAGAAAGTAACAAAAAGTAGAAAGTATCATTTAAAGCTTTTGTAATGAGCTTTATAATTATTCAAAACTATCTCGCTTTTGATGGATTTACGTCTCTTAAACTGGGTGTTTTGAAAAAAAAAAGACAAAGATTAGTACACAATAATCTAAATCGATTGTATTTCGCTTGATTCTTATTGGCTGCTTACAACCCATAACATTTTAAAATCAAAAGTATCATGGAGATCGACATACTAATGAATCCGAAGGTGATTGGGGATGTATATGTACATCATGATGTAGCGAAGACTCCAACAGCGTTAATGAAGTTCGAGTCATTTGAGTGATAACACTGTTAGAGGTAAGATGTCAGAGTGCTGTCAAATTATGTCGACTGTTATTTCACTGGGAATCATCGACTTACCAGCAATATTTATGTAGTTTATTCTGCTTGAGTGAAATTATACATGTATATGTAACCAGTCGCTGACTCACTGGCTCTGAATTATCTGCTACTTAATATTCAACCCAGTGACAGTGTGAATTGACTAGTAACAGAATAGGTCTAAGCGAAATATCTTGTCTACACATTTTCGGTTAATTATGTAGATTGGGCGAACGAAACCTAGATCTTGGGTTCTTTTCGGTTCAACCACCGATCGTTGTCTTCAGAAGATTCATGGATGCACTAATGATATTTTTCCCTTCTGAGTCGGTTAAGTCCGTGGTCTTAATTTTCATGTGGTCGTTTGAAATGAACTTCATCCTATTAGAATCTTATTCACATTATCATACACATGTTCATCTCTAATTATCTTCGCATTTACACTAGTATGTCGATGTCTGTAACAATTCTGATCTTTAAATAACATAGGTTGTAAACAGCTAATGAAACCCTAGCGCGATAAAGTGAATTCATACTATTCTGCTTCAATCTTTATTTTTTCTTCCTTCTGATGGTATTTCTAGGCATCAAGAACACAAACTTTAGCCAAAATAACAAAATCTTACCGAAGATGTCTTCCTGAGGTACAAATCTTCTCCAGTATCTCAAAAATTTGTAGAGTAGTCTGCTTGCCTTCAAGCCAATTTAATCACAGTTCTATCATTACTATTTAATAACAGCGCATACATTGCAAACATCTTGTCAATCGGTGACATTCATATACTTCAAACACCAGTGATAAATCTCCCAGACCAGTTGGCATGTGGCACGTAGTAAGCACAATGATTAAACACCTAGTCGACGTTGTATATCCAACAACGACAAACGTATCAGTCATTCAAAGGTCTCACACCCTTAGTTCCTTTCTCGTCTTTCAATGTTGACGATTTCACACAAATACGAAATGAGTTGGAATAATTAGACCTCATACACATAATACGAGACAACAAATATACAAATGGTAGCAGACAAAGGTGAGAGTAAAAGGGATGAAAAAGCCACATTAGAGATTATTCATTACATTGATGAACAGTATTTCAAATTATCATCTCATCATCAACTTTCTAAAGGATGAATTACAGCTCATGAAAGTAGTTTCAAGGCGGGAATCATCTAGTGGGAATAAGAATATGAACAGCACAATGTTTTCAAAATCTGACTACCAACATATCAGATGAGGACAAAGAATAAAGAAATATAATGTTATTCAGGAGACTTACTCCACTATTTTGCAAGCAACCTATAAACATTGAATGAAAGTCTTTTCTTCCAAGAAAGAAAAATAATTAGTTTCTAGAAAAATTGCCACTGAATAACGAATATCAGGAGATGGTATTGAAAAGATTTATTCCTAGACTGGTAAATAAACTTATGACTAACAGGATAAACTCTTAGTCGAACAACTAAATTAAAGGATAACTTAAAGACGCATGGGATAATATTCAGAAACAAATTGTGCAAATGGAATAAAAACAGGGTTGGAAGAGGTCGAATGCAGTAAAGTGAACGGATCACTCATGGTCCTCTAATTTCAACTACAGTTTGATCCCAAGAAGGCATATAATATGGATCATGCTAAGCAAAATGATGATAAAAATAACCACCATGTTTAGCGATTACAGTTCCTACATATATTACAGAAATCCATTAGAATTATTAATTAAGGATGTTACATATTCGTCTAACGACCACAGACTCATGCTGAGCTCTAGAAAGTTATTACCTCATCACTGACTAAAACAGAAAATACAGTCTGTTTTCATACAATACCATACGAATTCAGTAATTATTGATGCTTTTACATACTTGTCTATTTGGTGCTGGGTGCATGCATTCCTTGTCTGCGCAGTGATTAGACAGACACTGATAAGATCCTTTTCTTGGCTCATATTCAGAACGTGAGAATTTAATAAAATATTCATTCGTTGATAATTCATGAGGGATAAAGACCGTTTGGTAGGGCTTGGACCCACAGCCAGACCGTGGTTTATAACCATCTCCATTCACGTGATCCAAACTATCCATTACAAAAGGAAATTCACTTTTAATAGAAGCTGTCAATAAGCTTGAGCTGAGATTCAGAAGCCAATCTAAGGCAGTAAGACTACTATTTAGGTCTGTCATAATCACCAGGTCCAACCCATTTCAAGTGAGTAGGTTTATATCACCAACGTTCTAAACAAGGCATTGGATACCGAAATGTGGTTTCAATATGCAATCTATGTTTCGCGATAGATTTCTGTGCTCTCGATTCTCCATTTTTTGGCACGGTTACAGGCGTTCAGTAGTTTCAAACGAATGGTAGTTTAGCCACTCGACTGTAAAAGTTCTAGTCTGTTGGTGGTTGTTTGTGCTCTCGTTGTCCCTTGACTTGAATGAGTGTCTTTGATTCGGGGCAGCAGGGTTTCTGGAAACCAACAGCTATCAGGTTGCCAGACCGAATATCAACTATTTTTATTGTGGGGAATAATAATGAAAATAATAAGAAAATTTCAGAACTGCGTAAATAAATGTATGGATAAGTTTAATAATTAGTGGTGAAGACTGTACAAAAGGACCGAAGTGTAAGCAAGGAAAATGAAACAGAAATAGCAAGCGAAATAAATCATGCTGCTGATCTTAGGAAATGGCAATAATGATCGCTAACGAGTCTCAGTACATGCATCGGGCACACCTAGTTCACGCGGGAGATGATAATCCATACTTAAGAGTTTATCAAGATTTTTTTTGAAGCTATCCACTGAGACTGCTGCGGTCGTTTTGGAATTTGAGCATTTCAAGTTACGAAAACTGTCCGTAAGGAAAGGTGTTCATGAAACTGGGTGTTCACGCTTTGGTGCTCAATTTTTCGAGTATGCTTCGGTTAGATGCTCACACTGCGGTGATTCGGTATGCTTAATGTGTTGTACGCCATCATCAGATCGCCTCAGATTCTCCTATAACTCATGGAGAATAATCCCGAGTGTTGGGGTCTATCTTCGTAAGGTTTATTTTTCAAACCTACCACCCATTTCGTTGCTCATCTCTGCTTTCGATACAAGGGATTATTATTTCTTTTAAGAAGAGATCGTGCGACGACGTTATGAGCCTCAAAATGTTGGTATGCGTATATTTTAAACAGATTCAGTCCTGGGGTGACTGCGCCAAGTTGTCTTTGGATAAAGTGGAAAGCTGCGTTACCCTTGGCTGCGTCCCCTTTGTTGTTCGAACTGGTGTTTATGATTTATGTGGTTATTAAACCGAGATCGCGCTCTGAGGAGACATTGGGAAGTGTAAGTCGTTCAGTCACATGGAGCAGAATGTACATGACGTGACATTTTGACTGGATTAGTTTGTACCAGTTTTAATTGCGCATCCCTCAACCAATATTAGGTCATTTTGGAACTTAGTAGAATACTCTTCACTCCTTACGGATCTTCAGATCATTTCATCATCTACAAAGATAAATGCCGCTGAGCTAATTTTATTTAACGTGTCGCTAGTGAATATCAGAAAGAGGAGTAGGCCTAACAGAGTCATTTGTAAAATTCCCAATGCTGAGACTATCAGGCTTAAGTAACTACGTTTGTCGATTCTCAGTGCAATCGTATTCTTAGAGAAATTTAGTTAAATATAAACTATAGTACAGTCAGAGATTTTTCGAACTCTGCTTGGCAAATTTGGCGTTCTAACTGTTTTTTAGAAGCCACATATTGAGGGTAGGGGATTAGTTTCAGTAACGTTCAGAAGTTACATTCAAATGCAGTCGCAGGTTTTAAATAATAACGAGCAAGCGATACAGTTATCACTGTTGTGCTCCTTCTGAACAACAGGCAGAGTCATTTGAAACAATTAGTCCCTTTTATAAATTTTGATAGAACAGTGAGAAGACGTAATTGATCTGAAAAATGTGATGTATTTGCGCTATACATTTCGAACAATCTGGTCACACATATTTATCAATTTACATGTTTGTGTGGACACACATACATAGGGAGGAGTAATCGGACTTTGCAATCAAGGGTTGTGGAACATGTACCTAAGTGGCTTCAAAATCAGTTAACGTCAGATGAGCCGATTAACGTTGGAAATAGAAAACCATGTTCATCGATCGCCAAACACATAATTGAGACAGGGCACAAGATTGACATCAAGACAGCCTTCAAAACATTGTATAGAAATGTTGAAGGACGAATTTTGAGGTTTATGGAGGCCTTGGCTATTAGAAAATTAAAACCCCCTTTATGTGTGCAGAAACAATTTGTCATAACCTTGAATTTACCTTGGTAATCTTTAAGCCTAGGGTAATGTGACAATTTTCCTACCCCTTCTTATTCTTTTCATATTACGTTAATTTTCTCTCTCCTTTATTTACAATTATCACCCTATGTCTATTTGAACTTTTATTTAATTGACCTTTTATTCATCTTCATATAAAATGCCTTGACAAGTAAATATGTGTGACCAGATTGTTCGAAATGTATAGCGCAAATACATCACATTTTTCAGATCAATTACGTCTTCTCACTGTTCTATCAAGAGTCATTTGAGTTTTTGGATGCACTTTTCCCGCTTATTTTTTACCTACTAATCTTGTTCAGATTCGGAACCAAGTTGGAGTTTCGTCATAGTTTCTGTGTTGGGGATCCAGCTACTCTGGTTTGTGGGTCGAGTGATCAGAGCTAAACACATTACTTCGAAGTTGACCACCAAGTGACTTTTTGAAAATTTTCACAACTGTGTTGCTAGGAACTGGGATTTTCAGTTCATTAATAACTGTAAAATTGAGACCTCAACTTGTTTCCCTGGTAGTTGGATTGAGTGAGTATAAACCACTCAAGAACGGGTTGTGATAGACTCTCTAAATTGCAACGTTACCTTTGACCGTCTTTGCAAGGTACTTCGCTTTGACTCACTGACTTTGCCATAAGTCCTGTGTCATCAGGATAGTGAATGAGTGTATTCTGTTGTCGAGACAACGACAAACGGAACAGTTAACTGAGATAGCTAGACCTACAGCGCAGTGGTGCCATCTTGGTATTATTGCGTTTGTCTACTTTATTTTACTATCTTGTAATGATCGAAGAATAAATTTTTATCCTGAGCAATGTTTAACTGTCCCAATCAGATATTAAGCACCGGATTGTTTCTAATAAAATTTGAAAGGTCAGACAGGTCATAACAGGGCATAGTTTCAATATATGCTTCTTTCAGTATTAAGCACAAGTAAATACATTTATCGTTATTTAGTGCAATCCCACTCTGGAAGAAATTTTACTGAATGCGAACTGTTCTACGGCCAGAGATTTTTCGAACCTTGAACTTTGCTTGGTAGAACTGGTTAAAAGTTGCTCCTTAGAGGCCCCATGTCGATTGTCCTCTAGCATTCTGAATAATGGAAAAAATTTATCCTGCGTGGTCAGGTACGTCCACTGTAACTAATAGAAAGAGACATTGAGTGAATAATGATCAGCCTTAATCTAGAATCCATTTTGAAGGCTTCGTTTTTGGGAAAATCTTTCCATGTATATATTTGTGTTATGATCTTGCTGACTCTTTCTGTTTAATAATTTGGTACTGTTCAGTCCCAATTTAGGATGTTAATATTTGTAATTTGTTATTATTCCCATTTCCTGCACTTAATTGGAGTTTCTATGTTTCCTTTTGAACTGCAAATGTGTTCTTTATATTGATACTTAATATGGCTACAACCATATCGGATTTGATACATCTGCCTTAACTTCGTATACTTGACTGGAAGGACGCATTCTTCCAGAATTGGAAACTCATTGAGTTAATTTCGGATCGGGACAATATACTATTGTTTAGGTAATTCTCTAGGTAATTCTTTTTTGATCAATGATAGAACCGTTCTTACCCAGAAAACTCGTGTTTTGAAATTGGACTAGGAAGTGCGCGTATCTAACTATTTCCGAAATCAAGGTTCACTGAAGTGAATTTTCTATACGCCATAGACATTTAAGGAAAGTAAATGTTCAGTGCTCTTTTAGGTCTTCAGTTTTCATTTGTAAGGGTAGAGAGTCAATCAACTTATATTATTACTGAAATTTATATCACTATGAACACTTAAGTAAGTAAGTACAAACACCCGAAATCGCCTTAAATATATTGACTGAAGGTGTTGATATTATTTGATCTTGAAGAGAATTCTTTTAATTCACTATTTGATGAGCGAAACGGAAGTCCAGACATAATACGGCCTGACCTCCACTTTTGAATTTAATTGGACGGGTGCTAAATATCAGGAAGAGGTGAGACATATTTTCGCGAAAATCGTGTTTCATTACACTATAAGTCAATGTAAAGTCACCTCATAGCACGCTGAAAGACAATCGGAATAGTCTGAGGTGTACCGGTCTTTTTCTGTAAGGTAGGTGGGTAAGTCTAGAAAATTTCTGTCGCTTACCAGTGGAAACTTTCTGAAATGTCCGCATCATACTTAAAACAGCGACTGTTTGAGTCAGATATTTCAAATTCGGTTTTCACAGATGTCGGGTATACTAACCCATATATTTCTTCAACCAAGTAATAAAATGACTCACAAATCTCTCATAAGAACCAGGAGGCTTTAGCAGCGGCAGTGCTACGACTGCTTGCTGTCCTAAGGTTGTTGCTCGATTTGACTCCTGAGTCTTCGTAATTAGCCACCTTAGATAGCACTATTTCATTTGATGCGTTACTGCATGAGTCAAGTCAGTCATTTAGAAACATCACAGCACTCTCGCTACAACTTACTTCCAGTAACCAATAATAATAGTAATAATGATAATTTATTCTATAATAACAACGTGTCACAGAAGCACGCTAGTTAGCGGATAAAATTATGATGTTAAATTGCTAACAAATTTTCTGTTAAATGTTTTTAGTTAGATAAATAATTCATAAGACACACTCGCTCTCCATGGACGGCTAATCTCTTGCACATAAAATATCAAGGCTAATATTCAAGGAGTAGGATGAGGTGCTGAGAAAGACCAATAAAGAGAAAGGGGAGAGATGCAGAACAGGAAATATTTTTGTTCGAAGCTATGTCATGTTTCACTAGATAGTTTTTGTATAAAAAATCTTATGACCATTTGCACTTACTTTCTTTTGAAAAGATCACTTGCTGCACAGTGACAGTTATGTAGGTTAATGAAGCGAAGTCACTGTGAAGGCAAAAAACGGGTAAATGATAGTATGAA